AGAGAGGGGGAGAGAGAGGGGGAGAGAGAGAGGGGGAGAGAGATATATATATATCATTGGTTGTCGGCAACTAATGTCCCTGGTCGGTATGGTTTTCGCATTCCAATCTAAAAGCCTTGTATTGATTTTAATTCAACAACGATTCAAGGCTCTGTAAGAGCAGCAACTGATCGAATGATGAAAGCTCTCGCGTTGTCTGTTCCTGAAATACGCTTTCTACCTCTGTTTTTCCATAAATTCCGCCTCTCTCTTTACTCTCTATCTCTCTTGCAATGTCTAGAAATTCAGAGATGATTTCATACTGAGAATTCGCCATTTCTTTCGTTCCATGTTCTCAGCAACATATTCAAAAAATGTCACAGTGACTGGCTTTTTAATGCAAAGAATTCTTTGTTTGTTTCCTGGAAGCTTTCATTCGAATCTCATGTAATGATAAATTGTAGAATGAACACATTTCCCCTACACATGATAAACGCATATATATATATATATATATATATATATATATATATATATATATATATATATAAAAGAGAGAATGCGTGTATTATGTGTGCATGACGAAAATGAAATTACAAAGAAAATGTTTTCTAAGTGGATAAGATATAATATATATATATATATATATATATATATATATATATATATATATATATATGTGTGTGTGTGTGTGTGTGTGTTTGTGTGTGTGTGTCTGTGTTTTGTGTATGTATGAGTGTTTTATATATATATATATATATATATATATATATATATACCGAATATAGACATATATAAGCATGTCTAAATCCCATTTGTCGAACTTCCACTTACCAGATCTGATAAAGCAAAAGAAATTTGATCAACAAAAATTTTGTTCTCATTTGCTATTTGTGCGTCTAGTAACACAATCTATTTATAAATCTTCTTTCTTTCTTTCGTTCTTATTATGTTCATATGTATTAATCTCTCTCTCTCTCTCTCTCTCTGTATATATATATATATATATATATAGACATATATATATATAGAGACATATATATATAGTGGTTTGTTATATTAAAACAGTTCACTGACTTACGTCAGGATTATTAAAAACTTTATTCCAAGGGACGTCACGAAGGAAATCACGGACGATATTTTGATGGTAGGAGGCTGGTAGGGGGGACGAAAACGGGGGTAGCGAGATGGCCTTGTCTATATTACCAGAAATACTGTCAAACACGCAACAACAAGAAGAAAGCGAATGGCAGAGAAAGTGTTAAATAATAGTTTAGTTGACTATTATTGTTTAAAGAATTGTATTTCGCCTCTGACTTCCTCAGTTTGACCTTTGAGGTCAGATGCAGGAAAAGAAAGGAAGCCATTTTGATTGGCTAAAGCTAGTATGGTTAGGGTTAGATAGAAAGGGAGCTCAGGAAGTTAAGTTTTACACGTCGAACAATGTAGACGTGTAATATCGTGTTAGGAATCGATAAATCAGAAGAGTAGATAAAAGAAATATACATTAAAAGTAAGAGAATTAACAGGACAAAAGACATGTTCATCAACAAGATGCATCACACCCTAGGACGGTACGCTGATATCAGAGAAAGAAAAATATTTCGATGATCGAAATCCTCCTCCTCTGACTTCTCGATTCCTCTTTACCATTCTCTCCTTGGGAGGGAATCTAATGTCCAGATGCATGTCCTTGGAGTTTATATCCGCGAACATATCCCGTTGACAAGGGAACACTCTCTTGAATCCCCAGACAATTCTTATAACATCGGTGTCCCTCTCTCTCTCTCTCTCTCTCTCTCTCTCTTTCTCTACTAAACTCAGCTATCTTTTCTTTTGTAGTATCGACCCCTCTTCTGATGGGGTCTGAATTAATATACTGTTCTCCTCTCTTTCTCTCTCGACTTGTCCCGGTCGGGTATCGATATATTTTTGGTTCGGAATTAAAAGGAAGACATCAATACAGAGAATTTTAACTTATTACTTCATTAAACACGTCGACCGGTACCTCTTCAAACTAGCCAGTGGGGATACTATCTCACCCCACTGGGGATACTATCCCACCCCACTGGGGATACTATCTCACCCCACTGGGGATACTATCCCACCCCACTGGGGATACTATCCCACCCCACTGGGGATCAAACAGTTTCCAAGCACGATATGACATGTCTACATTGTTCGACGTGTAAAACTTAACTCGTGGAGCTCTTCAACGACGAATGAGGACAACCGGAAATATGAAAATCTGAATTGAAATCAGCACTAGTAAAACTGAACAGAAACTTAGAAGAAGGAACTAGATGGAATCCTAATAAAGATGCTTGCAGTCTTAGATGTTTTCGGCATCGTCAAGATTACAGACTATAAATTAAATATACTATAGTGGAGATATAGTGGAAGAGCTAAGCAAACCTATTTTTATAGCACTGCTTAAGAAGCCAGGTGTAAACGAATGTAAACATAATCAGATAATGAACCGTATAAAAAAAACTTATACGAATTCTCTTGAATAGAGAACGCAACAGAATTAGACCAGAGACATGACAAAACTATTGCTAGTCCGTTAAAGACACTGGAACAAAGAATGCAATATTTATCCTCAGAATGCTACTAGAAAGAACAATGCAAATGCTAAAGTATACCTATATTTCATAGATTATACGAAAGGTATTGATCAGTCACCTCACAAAAACTGTTGGAACTGATAGGTCACCATAACATATTTGAGAAGGAGATTAGAATAATCCAGAACTTATACTGGCAAAAAATCACCGCATGCGGATATAAAATGTATTCAGTAAATATGGAAAGTAATAAATAAATAACTAAATAAATGGAAACGGATGTAAGACAAGGGTGTGTCGTCTCACTGGATATTTGAACTTTTGTGTCCTGTGATCCACTGTGTCATGTGCCCTTGAGGACATCTGTGTATGAATTTCTGGGTAATATAAACCTAATGTCTTCAGTAACCATTTTTAACAGTGCTCATATTGCAATTTTTGCTTTTATTAGCTTTTGTTAGGGGAATTTACAGGCTAAAAATGATAACTGATATCCAATAGACATGGCATGTGGAACTAGAGCAGTCTACCCGAGCTAGCGAAATAAAGTAATGAGGTAATTTGGGTTTGGTTTGATTTACGGTATATTTACGGTATTAAAGGAAAGAGAGAAGAAAGGACTAAGCATCAGTTGTAAGAACACAAAATGCATTGTTTTAGCAAAAAGAACAGCTCAAAATGCAAATTACAAATTGCAGATACCAAAATCAAAAAGGTTCAATTTAAATATCTGGTAAGTTTTTTAAAAGAGGACGAAAAGTGCGACACGGAAATCCGAAGAATCATTAGCATTACGGAAGATGCCTTCCAAAACTAAGCAAAGTATTAAGAAACAAGAAAATTTCGTTAGAAACAAAGAAAAGAGTACGGAACTGTTACATGATATCAGTCATCGTATATGGCAGTTAATGACGGCCAATCCCCCACAACGATGAAAAATTGACTAGAAGCAAAAGAACTGTGGTTCTACAGAAGGATGCTGAGAATACCATGAACTGAACATGTAAGCAAAGTCGAAGTTTTACAGAAAATGAAAATATAAAGGACATCTATATACATCAGAAAGAGACAGTTAAAATTTGTAGGACACATAATGAGAAAAGAAGGTTTGGAAAATTTAATACTCACAGGACAGATTGAAGGTGATAGGAACAGAGCAAAACAACACAAAACTTACCTAGCGAATCTAGGTAACTGGATGGCGGAACAGCGTTTAGGAGAGATAACAACAACAACAAAAATGTTTATCAAAAGCTACAAATGCCATGAAATTGTTGACAGCTATTATCTAAATATATTGTTTCCCAACAGTTATGGGTAGATAGCAGAACAGACTGGATAGAAGAGGTTTGGGTGGCAACAAATCTAGGATAAGGACAGAGCTGAATTCATAACCTTCAGCTATGGGTTAAATAGCCTTACCAACCCGCAATTTACCACGCGTAGGGAGTACGGCCTCACCCCAGAAGTCAGAGCCAACAATTGATTGATTGATTCATTCATTTATTTTCTACGGTTTATCAACCCTTTGCCGGTTATTTAAAGACGGGAAATATTTTTAGATTCTAAGAATTTGGGGGTAAGATAATAATGTTTTAGTGATATAAGTCTTACTAATTAATCCATATCTGGGGGTGAAGAGATGGAGTCATGTCTTCCCCAAGGGTATTTGCGCGTAATATAACCAACCAAACAGAAACTGGAACTCGACCTTTCGAGTTTGAAACACCTAATACGGGAAATATAATCCAAGAATCAACAATGGACGGCTTCCTGCAATAGATCTGGATTTGTTCGGACGATGGACCAGCGGTTTGAATTTTGAATGGATGTCTGGATTTTGGTAAAATATTCCTCGAAATTTGCTTACATTTGAATCTGCTATTTTAAATCAGTTATGTGCGATACGTGATACACGCTTAGGTGATCATTTATCTTTCGATACATGACTGACGAGGCAGTTTTTTTTATTTCTTGCAGTAGATTGTCATTTCTTTCTGCTATAGGCTAATAAGTCATAGCTGAAGGGAGAAGAGAATTCATACCTTTCGCAAGGGTATTACCACGTAAATGAATTCCTCAATCCAAACTGTTATCCATTATTTCGCTCTGCTCCTATTCTAAATACTTGTACGAAATCAAGTCTAAGACATTCCGTTTCAAGTGAGGAAAAGGCCAAGACTTATGAGTCTATCGGGGTACGCTGCAATGCTTTTGGAAAAATTTGAAGATGAGCTCTTTTGAATTTTCATGCAATTATCGGACGCTAACTCAGTTTCGAGTTCACAGCCGTCGGGCGCTTCGGCTTCTTCTTTACGAAGTAAATGGGCATATTAGCATTGCCCCACCCCCCACCTCACTTGGTTTTGGGACTTTAAACATCGGATGTAGTATATGGCCAATTTCTTCTAAGAAACCACGTGAATTTTCGGTAATATCGCCAGTCCCACTTTCATGTCTTTGAATTTCATTTTTAATAAATTTTACGTACCAATTCCATTTAACTTTTTTCTTTCTTTTTTGTTTTTTTCATTTTTTCTTTCTTTTCTGTTTTTTTCCTTTTTCTTTTTTATGTTTTTTTCCTTTTCTTTTTTTTTTTTTCCTTTTTCTTACTTTTTTTTTTTCCTTTTGCTTTCTTTTTCTCTTTTTCGATCTTTTTTGTTTTTCCTTTTTCCTTCTTTCGTGTTTTTTTTCTTTTTCTTTTTTCCTTTTTTCTTTCTTTTTTTACATGTTCTTTTTTGTTTTTTTCCTTTTTCTTTCTTTTTTTCCCTTTTTCTTTCTTTTCTTTTTTTCATTTTTCTTTCTTTTTTGTTTTTCCTTTTTTCCTTCTTTCTTGATTTTTTCCTTTTTTTCTTCTTTTTTTTTCGTTTTTCTTTCTTTCTATCTTTCCTTTTTCCTTTTTTTTGTTTTCCCTTTTTCTTTCTTTTTTGGTTTTTTCTTTTTCTTTCGTGTTTAGTTTTTTTCTTTTTCTTTCTTTTTTCCCTTTTTCTTTCTTTTCTTTTTTTCCTTTTTTCTTTCTTTTTTGTTTTTCCTTTTTTCCTTCTTTCTTGATTTTTTCCTTTTTTTCCTCTTTTTTTCCTTTTTTTTTTCTTTCTATCTTTCCCTTTTCCTTTTTTTGTTTTCCCTTTTTCTTTCTTTTTTGGTTTTTTCTTTTTCTTTCGTTTTTAGTATTTTTCTTTTTCTTTCTTTTTACCTTTTTCTTTCTTTTTTAGTTTTTCCTTTTTATTTCTTTTATGCCTTTTTCTTTTTTGTTTCATTTTTTTATTTCTTTTTTTGTTTTTTCCTTTTGTTTTTTTGTTCGCTGGTATTAATTTCATTCTTTTTTCCCTTTTTCTTTCTTTTTTTGTTTTTTTTTCCTTTCTTCTTTCCTTTTTGTTCCTTCCTTTGTCCTTTGATCGCTGTTACTAATTCTATTTTTAAAATTTTTATTTCTTTTTTCCTTTATTTTTTTTTGTTCTTTCCTTTGTTTTATTTTCTTTTTTCAGTTTTCCATTTCTTTTTTTTTCGCTGTTATTAATTCTATTTTTTAAAATTTATATTTCTTTCAAATTTCAATGTTTTTTTTCTTTTTAATTGAAGTGAATTTAGTCTACCCCACTTCAGAGGTCATACTTACTCCCAAGTGTACGTGGCCGAAGCATTTTGCCAATAATAGCATCTCTAAACATCAAGTTGAGAACAATAATTTGAAATGAGTCAAATATAATAAAATTTAAGATATGAGAAATGAAATGTTGCCCACTTCTTCCCTTATCGCACACCGTCATTAGGCGGAAACTGATAGAATTTTCCTTCCGTTTTGTTAAATAGTCCCAAATACCATTCAATGATTTCTGTCTTTACAAAGTTCAATTTAGTTCGATACTTGTTCGAATCAATCGTTGATTTATCTGTGAAGAACATAGAATAAATTTTCCTGTATTATGTCTAGCTTTCGGTACGGTTTTATTCAAGTCGTTTGATTTGAAGCAACCTGCTTTTTCTTACTCGCCACATTTTCTTAGAAAGTAAAATAAATGGCACATTTTCGATAGGCACGCGTAGTAATCATCACTCACGAATACAATGTTCTGACGGTGGGTCAGGGAATATGCCGATAGCGGCTCTTTCAGAGTTTTTATCCCCGAGAAACACAAATGGATCGCTATCCAGGTAAAAGCTTTCAGCCCCAAATGTAACCGATCAATATTAACCTAATCTCAAAGCAAGTAAACGCTTATAAAACAACGATCAATTTTCCCCTATCCCCAAAACAATTGTCATGTGACTGGCGCCTAGACTACCCCAAATACATCGCCTGTAGATGTCAGAGATGCCCTAAAAAATAAAGATCATCAACTAAGAAGATACATGTTGTTTTTCGAATTAACGTACCATTATTTACAAAACCAAATGAATGCATGAAGACTCATATAATGTATAGAGAAATTTATTTATTGAAAAAAAAAGTTTGAACAAAGTAACTATAAACAATTTTTTCTATCTCTGCCAGCTGCAATGATAGTGAAAGCATTACCTCGAACCATCGCCAGTGAGATACGCTGCAAGAGCCACTCCATTTCGCGAGGCTCCTCCCTTAATCGAGACGCCATCGCGCCAATCCTCCGAAGGAACGCCATCGAACGAGGGCCAATAACGCCAGAAGTCTCCACTGCCACAGGAGTAAAAAAAAAAAATCTATGAGCAAGAGAAGAATATTTAACGATTTTTTTTTTTTTTTATCTCTGTGTCCCGGGCGACGGATCCCGGCTCTACCGCGGACCTGATCAAATTACCGGCCGAAAATGTATCCGCACAGGTCGCATCCCAAATCAACGACTTCCCCATTTTAAAAGGGAAAATGGTAATGACATCCGGTCGCTTTCCATCTCCACAGACGAGGCCTATGGATTGGATTTGGCAAAGGAACCCCAGGTGCATCCAAACCTCTTTTGATGATGTCGTTTATTGTGCATGCCGTGGAAATCGGCCGGCACTACGACGACAAGAGAGAGGATGCAAACCAAACTCATCAAATAGAAGCTCCACATCTGCATTTGTGACGCTCACATAATTTGAGTCTAAGACGGATCGTGATTCCGACCTGAGTGCACTCATCATTAAGAAGGGTACCGGTAGATAAAGAGGGCACTGCGTTGAGCCAGGCGCCACTACTCGGTTGTGAAGCAGATAGTAGACAGGTGAGGCGATGCTGGTCCAGAGAGAGCCTCAAATTAGTAAAATTGGCCTCGCATTTTATAAATGCTTATAAACGCAGGTATGAATCACTGATGATTATTTATTTCTAAACCAGGTAAAGGTTTATAAACGCAAATAAAAGATTTACCTATCCCCAAGTCAAGTAAATACTTATAGATTAAAATATAATAGTCAAGTTTTAACTATTTCTTAACAAGGCAAATTAGTACTGGGTATGATGATAAACTACTTCCAGCAGCCAGGACTCTGATCAGGAGATTGGAGGTTTTGAGGAACTTGGAACTACCCCTTAATTGCTGATGTTTCCCGGTTCACCTTGACGTCGGGTCATAGCATATGTTAGGGTCCCAGCTATGGACAAATAATGACCCTCACCAAAACAAAAACAAAAAGAAAATATAAAGATATGTATTTATAGCAAAATGACCAATATAGCATTTTATCTGCAGTTGAAGGCATACAAATGCGTTCAAAATATTTAGATTTCAGCATTAAAAACCCATAGAGTTGTTGAACAGAATCAACTGCTCAACACAATTAACCAACCAACGAACAAACATGAAAGACATTTCATGAGATTAATCCATAGAATATGCTACAATTTAAAGAAATGAAACAGTATTCCAAAATATAACTTCTACAAAACTACAATATAAAAAGCACACATATCACCGCCTCTAATAATTATGTCCACACAAGTAAGTATATGCACACAAGCTGAGTATCATTTACCATGTATCCAATTATGAAAGCAGAATAACATATATTATGTGTTTTATTACTCCAAAGATGTCGAGAAAATGTAATTTCCGTATTAAATCGCCCATAAAGAGTTGATATGCCATTAAACAAAAGAAACAAAATCAAGTAAATGTTTCTAGATTCAAATGTAAAACCAACACTATTTACCTGTCTATATATCTGAGATGAGGTATTATGCACACTGTTTACATTATTCTGACTACTGTCCTCATCTTTGTCGCCATATTTATTACAACGTTTCGGCTTTTCAATATCTGTTTATATTTCTAAGATGAGGTATTATGTACACTATTTACATTATTCGGACTATTGTCCTTATCTTTTCCGCCATATTTATTGCAACGTTTCAGCCGTTTTACGCTCCGGCCTTCTTCAGGTGGTTGGAATGTCGAATTGGACCCTTTATTTCGCTCACTGGGGTAGACTGTTCTAGTTCCACGTGCCATGTTTAATGGATGTCAGTTATCAGTTATCTCCTGTTAATTTCCCTCTGAAAGTTCTCCACTGTCTTAACCGGGTATTGAATTCAGACACTTTGGGTTCTGTCACTGGATCTAACCAACGCCTTTATCCACTGTTCAGTTCAACATTCCAACCACCTGAAGAAGGCCGGAGCGTACAACGGCCGAAACTTTGTAGTAAATATGGCGACAAATATGAGGGCAATAGTCCGAATAATGTAAATAATTGAAATTACATTTTTATCATATATATATATATATATATATATATATATATATATTACTGAATGATATAGACATATTATGTCTATTTTTATAAAAATCCTTTCTAGTTTTCTAATTAGTTTCTTGATGATAAATTGAAATTCATCAAGGTAGACGCCGTACTTTTGTTAGCCGAAGAGCAAAAACACCATAGCTACAACGGGTGTATTTAATTTTTCAAAAGTTAACTGGAGGTGGAGAAAAGTGTGGTTATGGTGTGGGATATACATATACATATGTATACACACACACACATATATATATATATATATATATATATATATATATATATACACACACACACACACACACACACACACACACACACTAACATTTGAAAAAATACACGTATGTTTTACTAGCGAAAACAATCTTCTAGAATATCAGTCAGTCATGTGTCATGCGTGGTACACGCGTAGGCGATCGTGTATCTTTCGATACATGACTGACGAAGCAGATTTTTCCCACAGTAGGTTGCCATTTCTTTCTGCAGTAGACCAGCTGCCATCCAAGGCTATAGAACCCGGTCTGTCCTTCTATATACCCATAGCTGGGGGCAGAAGAAGAGGATTCATACCTTTCCCAACGTTATTAGCTCTTAAGTGAATGTAATAGATTCGACTGGAATTCGAACTCGGCTCTCGATTCTTCAATCCGAGTCGCTATCCATTACTCCACCGTGCCTAGAATACATCGAAATAAAACTAAACGTTCCCCATGGATTTTTAATGATTTTTATGCCAAAATGTTACCCCCTCATACAAAAAGGTGTTCTGTTTATCATCATAATAGAATATGATACGAATGGAAACGTGCACCTCATTAACGAAATTCTTTAAATTTGCAGACAAACGAAATTCTTAGAAATTTGCAGACGAAATGTCAATGTTTCTCCAGACAAGAAACAAAAAAAAAGAGAAAAGAAACCTCTTTTGCATACACGTCCAAAGAAAACGAGTCATTGATTATCACTCGTCAACAGTTCAACGATATAACGTTAATAAAAAAATTAGATCGTCGATGAAATACTGTCCACCCTTGCTTTCTAGTTTGTGACATTTGTAACAAGCAGGCGAAAACAAAAAACGTAGACAAAATACATTTTAGTAAATCGACTTATTTCTTTAAATCTGATTATGACACCAGAGGTCATTGATCGACTTTGCATCTTGCTGTCATTGTTAGAAAGCAGCACGAAACAATTTAAATCATTAAAAAAGATACTGACGAGTGCAAAACTGCAGACTACAATTAAAGACCCTCAGGTGATAAAATGCAACCGGACACTTTGAGGGTATGCAAGGCTAAGAATTTCTGTTCAAAGATGGATTTCTCGTGCGACTCCGAGAATTTAATATACATAAT